GATCAGTTGGTTGCCCCTTTTATCATCCCAAGACCTGGCTGTGACCAGGCAACTTGGTTCATCGATCAGACCTCATGCTTTTGGGCCAGCCCTAACTGTCAGCTGTGCTCAATAAAGCTGTGGCTTTTTCCTTCCAACTGTATGTCCTGGTGTTAATTCTTGTGATGCCTCCCCTCCCACTGCAACTACTTACCAGAGTCTCTGAGGAAAGAGAAGTAGGGAAATGAGCACAAAGAATTCTGGAAAAGCTTATAGTTTGAATACAAGGAAATAATTTCTGACGTTTTTGGTGCATTTTTTATTTTTAAAAAAAGTTGTGCAATGAAACATACTGGTGATGAAAGATGATAGATATGTTTGGACACTGGTGAGAGCTTTAAAGGAAAAACTGAGTAAGCATTATCATTAGCAGTGGAATCTTCTTGCCGTAGATAAAATACATCAGAAGGAAGTAATGATGGATTATTATTTCCCTTGATAATGGATGTAGCCCAACAGACAAATTGTTACTGGCAGCATGTATAATCATCCTACAATAGCCTATGCTGACAGTTTTTTCAAGGGGATTGTATTGTTTCAAAGATCTTCAGGACCTCTTTAACAAGAGATGAAAATAAGGACATGGAGTGACATAAGACAATGTGTGTACCAATGCTTTATCACAATTTTTTTTCAAAGACTGCAAAGCATTATCATCCATCTCCAGCCTGAAATCACAAACTGGAGTAGCCTACTGAGGCTTGCTCTGTGGACTGAACAAATGTATGTATATGATGTTGTTTTTCCATGCTGAATATCTTGGAAAACTAGACACTGTATTTGGTAAACTAGACAAATGTATTGTGCCTAATCCTTGGCTCTCAGGTTCCTGTTCAATCCAAGCCTTGGAATCATTACTTTTTTGTACAATAGCACCCTGAAATCTCCCAATCAGCATGGTCCCTGGCAGCTGTTGGGTTCTGGGGGTTAGAGTCCAAGATCGTATCTTTTCCAAGCTCTAGCTCAATCAAAGTCTTCCCAACTGATTGAAAAAACAAAGATAATCCTGTGCATCATGCCCTTTGCTTTAAAGTACTAGTACATATCAGGGTTGGGGAAAATGAATATGGCATTCACTGTTACCGCAATGAATGTGAAAGTAGTAGGCGCTTCAGCCTGTTTTAGGATGAAAGTGATGAATCATGGATCTAAAAAAAGAAGATGCTAGTCCATAAAACCCTATGTCATAATAAACATGTTAGTCTTTAAAATATCATAAGGATAATATTTTAGTTTATAATCTTACTGTAATCCAAGATGTCATTCCCTATAAAATCAGAGGCACACCATGATCATGCTCAGTCTGTCACCATAAGTGGGAGGGATTGTCCTCCTTGAAAAATATCTTGCTAACAATGGATTCAGACAAACAAGTTATCCACATGCACACTCAGCTTGAAGATGTCTTCATAAGTACATAAGAAAAACTGTGATTTATCATAGGGCTACTTAAAGTGGTGGTCTGTCCATGGACTAGTCCCTGTCTACAAGCCATGAGCTACTGATCTCTGGAAAGTTTCCAAAAAGAAAGAAAAATTGTAGCCAATAGGCACAAATGCAGTATTTATTTATGTATTTATTTAATAGCTGCCATTCTCCTGGAATGGGTCCCAAGGCTCACAAAAGGGAATTGATTAAAATGCACTTTATTTATTTATTAAAATGGCACCATAAAAACAATACAACATTATTTTAAATCATACAAAAGTTTTTTTTGGTGGTTTTTTTTTTTTTTTTTTGGTAATAAAACGGTTCTGCAATTCATTTATTTATTTTAAAAAGCATCCCTGAAACAAGCATTATGGTTCTGCTTATGATTATGAGCAGTACCAGTCCCTGGCACACTGGGGAGTGGCTAGTCTTCAAATTCAAATACCTAGAGATGTACTGATATCAGACCAAAGATTTACGTAGTTTATGATTCTGTTCCCACAGTGGTCAACAAAATGCCTGGAAGAAACTCACAGACCAGAGTGCAACACTACTCATCAACATTAGGCAATGGTAAGCCCCCCTCCCTTTCAACTAGTCTTGCCAAGAAGACCTCAAGATAAAGTTGCCATAAATCAGAGGCAGGTAATCATGGGAGATTTAACATTTCTTATCCCCTTTTATTAACATTTCTAGGGGCTGTTCTTTTGTTAAGCTAATGGATCTTTATTTGATGGCCCTTGGGGATCCCTTCCAACTCTTGAGTTCTCTGCATCCTGCATGGCAGAGGGGGATGGATGGCCCTTGGGGACCGTTCCAGTTCTAGGATTCTGTTGTTCCTGCAGGCACCTTCAGGAAACCCATCAACCTATGGGTGGGCTGTGAATTTCCTAGGGTATTCTTAGATGAAGAATCCCGAAAGGTGATTTTCCCAGTTCCTTCCTCTGAAAGCTACCCTACAACACCTGGTATTTCCTGGAGGTCTCCAGTACTAATCAGGGCTGACTGACCCTGCATGGTTTCCAAGGTCCAGATGTTGTTGGACTGTGGCTCCCAGCATTTCTCAGCATTGGCTATACGAGCTAGGGGCGGCTGGAATTTGCGGTCCAACAATAGCTGGACTCCATAACTCAGTTCAGTGCAGTTTGTGTACTGAAGAGAGAAGGGTAGAGAAAGAAAAATAGAGCTTGGAAAAAGTTTGGACTACAGCTTCTACAAACTCATTTCTAGCTATAGGATTGTAGGCAAAACTAAGGGCCTTTACAGACCCCTTTAACTGTCTTGGCTCAATGCTAGGGAATCATAGGAACTGTACTTTTTTCTGAGACATTGACCTTCTCTGTCAGAGAGCTCTGGTGCCAAAATAAACTACAGTTCCCATGATTCCCTAGCACTGAACCAGGGCAGTTAAAATGGACTCAAGCTGCATTATTTCTGGCAGTTGTAAAGGCCCTAAATCTCAACATCTCATTGGTAAGACACCTTTATCTTCACTATTGTGTGAAAATTCACACCCTCTTGCACCCCTGTGGTTTTATTGCCATGACACCATAAAGCAAATGAATGAGCTTCAAAAGGAATTTCCTGCCCCTTTTCTTCATTTGCAAGTGAACCATCTTAAATTCTTACACCTAGGTGATCAAGTGGCACATTTTTCAGCTCGTATAGAAAGCCATTCAAAGGGCTAAGAAATCCACAATTTGTGTGTTTAGCAAAACCATGATGTGTAATTGTGACATCACTAAGCACCAATGGCAACATTCTGATTGCCAAATTAGTGTTGTTCCAATGATGTTGTGGTTAATTGCCGCTTCTTTGGCTGCAGAGGGAGAGAAGAAGAGGCAGTATTTGCTGGGCTTAATCCCCTTCCACACTGTTATCCTTCTTTCCTTTTATGTCCTGTCTTAATTAGATAGTAAGCCTGAAGGCAGGGAACTAGGGCTTTTTGGTTGGTCTTCTACTTGTAAAGTGCCATATATAGTGATAGTGTTATATAATAACAATAATGTGGATGTGAAGCTGTGCCCACCCATCTAATGGCATTTAAGCAAGTCCACTGCACTCTACATGAATGGGAAACCATTTGCACAGGGGGCTATTGGATGATGATGATGATCATCATCATCATCATCATCGTCGTCATCTCATAAGATTCTGGCCAATATAATTTAATTGTTTTAAAAGAAACACAGCAATTTAGCTACTTCCTAATGTACAAACAGTAGAACAGATCTAACAAACTATGATTCATCTTTTCATTCATTTCTCTTCCTTTTGCTGAATGAATGAACCATTGGTATTTACAGATGAATAGCAGTTATAAAGTGCTTTGGCTTTCTTGTCCTTTCAGGTTGGTCAGTGAGAAGCAGATTTCTATGGGTTGCTCAGGCATTCCTGGAGTAGTTGAGGCATTCACAGTGCAAACCGCTGTTATTCATACTGTTATAATTCCACTGCAGTTAAGTCATTACTAGCAATCACAGTTGGCTTGTACTACAATGCCTTATTTGGGAATGTCATGTGAGATGCTCAGAGCATTATGAAAAAAACAAGAAGGCAAATTTCTCTTTCTTTGGATGGATTTATTATATGTCCCCTGGCAGAGATCTGTTCAGAAGTCTTATAAACTCCTTCACAGTTGGTCACATAAACAATAAACCCAGCAGGTGTAGTACACTTGTACACCATATTTTTTGCTTCAAGTGCAGAATTGAATAAACTGAAGTTTTTTTTCTTTTATGACCATGAACATAATTCTGAATATTACTTGCATGCTATCCAGTAGGAATACTGTATTTTAAATATATCTAATTCAAGTCATATTTGAATTGCAAGCATAATAAAAACAACTTGGGTTAGAACAATAAAATATATAAGAAGGTGCTGAAAGAGCATGTTTAAACAGAAAGCCCCAAGACAGAATTCTGCTGTCTGAATGTCTTTATCCAAGTTTTCACAGAACATGTAAACCTGTCAATGGGATTTACAGTTCATACTGCAATTAGTATTGACATGACTGAATGCATCTAACTTCAGCAGCAGCAGCAGCAACAGCAGCAGCAGCAGCAGCAGAAATGATAACAGCATTAATAGCACTACAGTAACTGCCTCTGTACACAGAAAATTTCCATAGGGAGGACTAGTTCTTCTCCAACTTTCCTATTGCCAATAAATTCAGTAACCTAAGACACCAGCTGCTGTTGCTGGGTCAGCTCTACTATTAGGCAAAGTGATGTGGCCCATCAGTGTCCTGAAAAGGGACCAAACCGCTGGCTAATTAAGGTATTGTTTTGTATTTCCTACTTTCTAGGAGAGGGATGTATGCTATTTTCTACTTCAGGTGCCAAAATAATGTGCTCAGCTTTGTGTTCCCTACACATCAGATGTTGCCCAAATACCTAGCAGGAACCAGAGTTTATCTGATCTTGGAATCTATGCAGGGACAACCCACCAATGGATACCAATGCTGTAGGTATATTTCAGAGGAATGAACTGGAAAAACTACTTCTTAATATTTCTTGTCTAGAAAGAGCCCTGGTGGTGCAGTGGTTAAATGCCTGTACTGCTGCCACTCACTCATAGACCATAATAATAATAATAATAATAATAATAATAATAATAATAATAATAATAATAATAATAATAATAATTTATATCCCACCCCTCTGCAGAGCAATCGGGGCAGCTGACAACATTAAAATTTACATAAAGATGTGTTAATACAATGTAAACAGAACCACAAGGTTGCGAGTTCAATACTAGCCAGGCCTGCATCCTTCTGAGGTCGCTAAAATGAGTACCTAACTGTTGGGGGGCAATGAGCTTACAGTTGAAAATCACTTAGACATCCCATAGCACAATATGAAGTGGTATATAAATGAAGCTGCTTTAGAAAACCCCTATGGAATCCACGGGGTTGTCATAAGTCAACAGGCAACTTGAAGACATACACACACACACACATCAGGAGTATGAAACTAATAAGTAAATGTCATTTTGAATATGCAAAGGGATATTGTAGTACCTTTGAGACTAACTGGGGGAAAGAAAGAAGTAGACAGCATAAGCTTTAGTAGATTTCAATCTACTTCCACAAATACGTCCAGGAACAGGCCTTTATAACCAGGCTATCTGAATAGCAATAGAAATGAAAAACTAGTGGTTATGGTGATAGGATGGCAAGTTTGGTTCTAATTATGGTTGCAGGGGGACAAATACAGAAGAAAGTAGGTAACCTAAAGCCAAGGTGGGTGGATAACAATATGAATTGTGGTAGAATTCAAACATATAGCCATGTTAGTCTGTAGAATCAGTATGTAGAGAGATCTTGTAGCACCTTTGAGACTAACTGAAAGAAAGAAATTGGCAGCACACTGCAACTTCTTTCTTTCTGTTAGTCTCAAAGATGCTGCAAGATCTCTCTAAATATGAGCTGTGTTGGGTGGTGCTGGAATGTAGTGTGACACTAGCTAGGAACCAGAAAGGAGATGTGATGAACTGAACAAGACAGTTCTCATGCAACTTGGGGAGTTAACTAGTATTATGATAAGTGTAGCATGCCAGGAGCCCTTGTCCCTATTTGACCCATTGTTGATGGACTGGAGTTTGTAGATATATTCCAGTTCTTCTATTTCTCTTTCCAGTTTTCCTTTATAGGTTTTTGTTGTTGTTGTTGTTGTTGTTGTTGTTGTTCAAGAGCCACTGTTCTGAGGTCCAAGATGGAATCCCCAGGAAGATTGAACTGTTCTGCCCCTGGTTTTTGTGCATTTTTTACAACCTTATTTGGTTAGAACAATTAATTGGGATCCTATTGTTAAATTGTCCCACTTTCTTTCTGGGGAGAATTTACATTTAGTAAGATGTACTGCAAAATTTATCACAAAAGTGGCTCATTTGAGAGATCAATTCATTATTCAACATGGAGTGCCATGTCATGGTGATAAGTTTATTTAAACTTCTTATCACTTTTAGTCACTTCCACCTGTTTTAGTTTGTTATATTTTACATTGTATTTGTACTTTATTTTGTATACTATTTTATCGAGTTGCTTTATTTATCTGAATAGGTTTTATCCCTATTCAATTTTAGATATGTTTTGGAGTGATTTATTCCATTTTGTATACTTTGTGACATGTGATATTTTGAATCTTGAAATACTGTATTTTATGTTGATATGGTCAGCAGACTAATTAATAAATTTGTTGTTGTTGGTGGTGGTGGTGGTTTTTGTGTATTTGCATTCCTAATGTCTGATTTATGTTGATTTGTCCTCTGGTGCAGAAACTAACTTCTTTGCCCAATGTAGAGTACTGAAGTGCATTGTTGACAGAAAATGCCATTTATCAGGTTAGACTGAGGATGAGCAAATGAAAGTACCTCTAATATTGTGGTTGATGTGGTTAGATCCTGTGATGACATTTCCTGAGTAGATCTGTGGGCAGAACTGATATCTGGGTTTGTGGCAAGGTCAATCCAGATCACTGTGTAGGGGAACTGAGTGGTGAAATAGATGTCTGGGAAGGACTGCAGTGACTACATGAACTGCTCCCACAGTGGGCCGCCACTGCAGGTCTCAAGCTATGCTGCAAGGAGTAGGTTTAAACCCACTCCTTTTCACTCCACTTCAAAGGACTGGAGCATGGCACCACAGTGACTTTGGGCTACGTTGGGAGTGTGTATCATCTAAATGTCAAATCCCCAAAGAGACCAGAAGCCACTTTTTTAAATTGAATTGTTTAAATTATCTGTTTTAAAATATCACTGATTTAATATTATTTTAAGGGGGGAGGGGATATCTACTATCTATTTACTGTTTGTATTTTAAT